GTTCAAGGTGTCGGAATCTTTTTCTTTTCTATTTATTTATTTTTAATGTTCAATTGAGGAGTTTCCCGTCCAAGGTTAATGCGATTTTTCTATATATAATATATATCTATATAATAAAATAATACACGATGATGATTTTTAAGCCGTCGAATCTCGGGCACACCGTAATAAACAGATATACACCTATACATAGGTCTACACGCACACATCTAATACAATATACCACTCGACCTAACTACTATATAATATATATATATAAAAAAAAAAAATAGGAATAATAACAAAATAGTAGTCGTAAGTACCTCACACACAAAATATACACAATAATACAATACACGTAGATGGCTACATTTTATATTATTTAGGCATAGGAGGATGATGAGCGCGAGCTCCTGCTCGATGGGATCACCGTCGGATCTCGAGAGTGTTACCGCGAGACGAACACACACACGCCGTTTAGGATTGCCCACAAAATTGATTAATATAATATATGTACAGTAATACACAATATACGTACACACTCTACATCTACAGTCTACAAATAGCGTATACATACATATCGTGCATTTATGCTTCAAAAACCACCGCGCAGCTCATCTGCTGCAGCGGTATTATAGTTCCGCCGACCGTGTAATTATTATTATTTTCATATTTTTTTTTTCTTTCATTTTTCATTCCTCCCGACTCGGCAATTAGCTCGCCGCCGCCCACTCGGCCACGGTAGTTATCGTCCTGATAATATTCACAAACACGCCGCGCGCACTGTCGTACCTATACATATACATTATACACATATATATATATAATATATATATATAATACGTATAGCGCTCGACGGTGGGTGGGTGGGCAGCAGTGGGTAGGTCGTCTTGCAGTACGCTGCAGGATAATATAAATATTATACACGCGGCTGCAGCAGGTATACCCATATCGCAATATATTATGGTATAAGACAGTGCGCCGCCGCGTGTCGGAGATAAACGCGACGTGTAATAATAATAATAATAATAATAATAATAATACGACCGCGAACGATATTATATTACGATGACGATTGCGCGACGAGCGGAGCGAAAAAAAAAACTCGTAATAATAATTATTATTGTCCGGCCGGAAGACCGCGCGTGTGATGTGTGCGCCGCCACGTCGTCGTTATCAATTTATCGCGAATTACCTAGCTCTCAGATGCATTCGGTGCATCAAAAGTACCTACGCGTTATCATCATTTATTGTAATATAATACAATAGAAATCCTATGTGTTATAATATCATTATAACGCCGCGTTTAGAGGTTTCCTGTACCTGCTCCAGTGTGCTGCGCTTACAATTTTTGCGATATCCACGAGTTAGGTATTTTATTTGAACACATTTTCAAATAATGTAATGTACAACGGCATTGTTAAATGATCCGATGAGGACATTTTAGTTAATTTTACAACAACGACAATATCTACGATAATGGCATATTATAACAATATATTAACAACTATTATACAACTCTATATATTATTATCGTATACCTAGCTATTGCTATATTTTCGTTGTCGTCGTCGGATCAATCAATTTCAAGATTAATCTTGTGTTTTCTAAGGGAAGTTGTAACGCCCTCGATGATGCCAGTGCTGAATCAGAAATTAATCAAGGAAAGGGGCGGGGGTGCAATTAAAATGTATCCATACCAAAAAAAATTTAATTATTTTTATAAGGTTTAATATGCTAAGCTCAAACCGCCCAAGGTATGGTATTTATCTCATTACAACCCTCCCCCTCCTTGAATCCGCGCACATGATTTTCTTTTGCTTACGGAGAAAAGAACATTTTCATAAAAATACATGATTGCCACTGCAGGTTATACGTAATATGTATTATTTTTATAATTACCTATAGAAGAAATATGACATAAACATTTCCACAAATAATATATTTATAAAAAAATACTAACCTTTGGCCCGGGCAGAGACGGCTAGTGTAATGTATAATAATAATATTTATATATTACTATATTATAATCTACGTATAGTATGTAAATAGGACTGTGAGGACATAATATATCAGCCTCAATGGATCCGCTCGCCTGGTTAATCTCTGCCCTGTGCATGCACATGTTATGTTATTCATGTATAATAATTAGTACGTATAATAGTAAATGCAATTAATCAAGACGGTACAGGTTGATATAACGATAGTAATGTATTTATATGTATACATTATATATATAATATATATATATATATAACTAGATATCATGTACATAGTACACGCATTATAAATATTGTATTATGTTTATGACTAATACCACGCCGAAAGATATAGATATAGGTATCAGCTATGCGTGTAAAATATATAATAATATATGATTTACAGCATAATAAATTTGAAACGGTTTCCTACCGGCGTGCACCGCTTATGTATAAACATTAAAATATTAAATTGTATACTTCAAATTTACGCGTCATGACAAATATTTAATATAACGGGCCTTGTCGTAGTATACTGACCGTAATAATAATTATGATCGAAATAGGGGATCTTGCGATGATAAATCCTCGAAGCTCGAAAAAAAGTTTCGTTTGTTTCGGGCCATGCTCTGCATATACTCAGTAAAATAATATTATGTTGTATCGTTAGGTATTTTATTATGTTGTTAAATGTATTACAACAGTATACGATTATATGAACAGCGATTATAAATATCTAGAACACATCATAAAAAAAAAAAAACAGAAAAGCGCCTCGTATTATAATAAGAAAATGTTTTTTTAATGAAATCAAATATAAACTAATTTTTGCATGCATATCTGCAGAAAGTAAGTATTAGCTAAATATCGCTACCAAAGGAAAACCGATCACGTCAGTTTATTAACAGTATATTTACAACAAGTCGACATACATAAAAATAATTATACCCCCCCCCCCCCGTTGAGCTTATTTTATTCAAATTTATTACATTGTGACTTGTGAGAAATACTAGTTATGTTCAGTGTTACGTATCGTTGTAACGATAATAACTTACTCACTACCCAAAAGAATGGTGATATTAAAAAGTATGTTATTTAGCGTGAATAGTATATGTTGGATACATTTTAATAATCCTCCCCTGCTTTCATTAAATAATTTATACATACTATTGATCAAAATATGACAAAAAAATATTATTCTATCAAATTGTGGATGAAGCAAATCGTGAAAATATAACTGACGATTATTATTTTTGATCGTGTATTTAGGACTGTAATACGGGGAGGAGGATGTTTAAACTTCAACGCACATTTCGTACCAAAACTCATGATACTGATGTTTACGCAGCGCTATAGGGTTCTAAAATGTCATGGAATTTATTTCGCAATAATTGGTGTTGTACACAATGACTATACGATAAATGAACAAAATACAATCATCAGCCTATTTTCTAGATGATATCGATAACCAATCTTTCCAAAACCGTCTTATTTCGTGCAATCGTTGCAACGGATGTATTCGTATTTAGGAGCCTACATATTTTATCACAAGCCACCAAATAAATAATAATACCTAATAATAATAAATAGGCGTTCGAAAAGAGGTGTCGATTCGGGGAACGACATAATCCTTCTACACACATACACAAATCACGACGTCCAACAGGTCGTCGGCATCGCCGTCGGTGCGTGTCGGAGTCGAGAGACATTATACGGTGCGTGTGCGCGCGCGTGAGTGTGTGCGTGCCTTGCCCAGCGTGGAAATAATAATAATAATAATAATAACGACATCGAAACTTATACCGCGCGAACTGCGTATACTACACGTCTCGGGGAGACGACAAAGTCATGATATTGCGGTGAGTGTGAGTGCTTGTGCGTGCGGGTGTGTGTGTGTGTGTGTGTGTGTGTGTGTGTGTGTGTGTGTGTGTGTGTGTGTGTGTGTGTGTGAGTGAGCGCTCGGTGACAGCATATTATAATTTCATTTCGGCCACACTCGGGTGTTGGATTTCATTTCTGTACACGTTGTACGGTGGATGGCCCACCGACCGGGCGGATTGGGCTGCACCGATCTGGATGGTACTGTGGTGGGACGGGGTGCACCGGGCGGTAGGTTTGGTAGGCATGACTGGATGAGAGGCGAAGAGAAGGGAGAAATTCTCGCCATACAATATTATTATACATAATAATATATCGGATATATATTTCCACGCGTACATGTCACCGTCGTGGCGGAGGTGCATGCATTTGGAAGGGGCGTAAAACGAGAAGGCGACGAGGATGAGAAGAAAAAATAATAAAACAACAACAACAACAACAACAACAACAACGACGACGACGACGACGACGACCTAATGTTGTATAATCTCGCAAGTAATGGATTTTATACGTAGTAACCGGAGTTCCGTTTCGGTTTAGGCGTGTGGTTGCCGGCGGTCAACGTCGAAGGTGGACCGCCGCACCTGTATATAAAACACACCGCCGCCGTCGCCGCCACCTCATGCTGCCGCGGTGCTGTTGCTTCTGCAGCTCGGTGCTCCTGCTGCCCGCTCCTCCTCCGCCACCGCCGCCGCAGCATCGACGAATGCGCGCGAGGAGCGGCGGCGGGCGAACAGTGCGACCTCGCCGGTAATTAGTGGACCGGGCAGGATGTGGTCGGAGTCTGGACTCGAGGACCAGGTGCGCGCCGTCAACCGACCCGCACCGTTCACCCGCCCTCCCTTCGTAGTCGTCGTCGTCGTCGTCGTCGTCGTCGGCCGCCGCCACCGCCTCATTCACCCGTCACTCGACCCCGCGCGCTCACCATCTTCCCACCGCCCGTGCAGGTCCCGCAAAGCGTACCGCCCCACCGCCGCACCGCGCGTCCGTCCGTCCGGCGGCGGCCCGTTCATTCATAAAAACATCCCTACTACTATACTCCATCCGGATCGGCGGCAGTGCGTGCGTGTCGAAGGCCTCTCCACTCCAAACATACACGCACACACACGTATACACACGTACACACACTCACGAACACGCACGCACACAAACACACATACACGCGGGTTCTAGCGCGCGCGCGCGCCGCTACACGCGCTCGCGAGCGCTTGGGTTTCTTGAATGGGGAAAACGCGCGCGGCAACTGCAGCAGCAGCGGCAGACGACGACGACTACGACACACACACAGACACACCGACCGCGATCGTCAACGGTCACACACGCGCTTTGGTGTCACACACACGAGTCAGTCGCTCCGCGTCGTCGATCTTTTCTACGCACTCGTATACCTAAAAAAATATTATAATATAGGTATATTATAATATTTTTTTTATAATTTATTATACGCGATATCGTTTCGTAAATATTTTCTCGTGACGTAGTCCGTCTTGTGCGTTATCGCCGTTTTTAATAACATACGAAATACATAATAAATCTGTGTTTTTTTTTTGGTGCGTTTTTTTTTCGCGCTTTTTAAACATTATTATCTTATTATTGACATCTGTTGTCGCGTTCGAAATATGCAAAAGATTTGATTGAAAAAAAAAATCCATATATACACCGCATACGTATATAAAATATACGGAACACGCGCGCACGACAAGTGTTCTTCGCCGACGGAAGTTTCCCGGTCGTTTGAGTTCGCGTGAAAAACTTTTTTGGTGGCCGGTGATGCGTGATGGTCGGACCGCGCGCGGTAACGGTGATGTTTTACGTGGCGGCTGCGTTGACGTTGGCTGCGGCTGCAGTGGCGGCGGCGGCGGCGACGGCAGAGGCGTCGGAGTCCGTGATGATGGAGTTGACGACTAACAACGTCAACAACAACAACAACAACAACAACAACAACATCGACCACAATAACGACAACAACAACGGCAGCGGCGAGAGCGGCAGCGACGACCGGCGACTGCAGACGACCGTGCAACCAGCTTTGGTTGACCAACAACCGCCGCAGCAACAGCCACAGCCCAGGAGGTTCAGACACGAGGCGTCCGCAGTCAGGGTCCTCTACCAGACAGGGGTGAATATTTTTGAATTTTTTTCACGCTTTTTACCTACCATACTCATAAACGGAAATCTATTTTAAATCACACGACGATATTGCCGTTAAATCCGTACGACCGTATACTGTTCAAATATTGTAAGTCGTATCTGGCACTTGTATGTCATGATGATAATAATATTTTAAGCACCACTGGTGCGGCCGCAGTAGCTCGCCATATTATAACGATCGTGCAGTGTGTGTGCGAGTGCTAAGACCCGCGGGCCCCAGTCGCGGCCAACTAGGCGCCTTTATAACTTTGTCGCGGACAGGCGCCACCATACATATATGTATATATATATATATAGTTTATATACGCGCACAAACAGCCTCAGAGCTGCAGAGATTGTATAGACCGATACGTATACGTCATGTGTGTGTGTGTGTGTGTGTGTGTATGTTTTTTCTTTCTATTATTATTATTATTATTATTATTATTATTATTATTATTATTATTATTATTGTGCGTATCTACCTATGTACATATATATTTATATATAACATATACACGATGTAAACCAGATTGGTGGTAGGCAGTTTGAATAGGAAGCTGGTTTGACCGGATCTTGTGTGTGTGTGTGTGTGTGTGTGTGTGTGTGTGTGTGTGTTTGAGTGCGTGTGCGAAGAGTGTCTTAGAGTACCTATATATGCGTACGTGTTTGTGTGTATAAGATATAATATATATATAACATATTAATATAATATATATTATTAATATTATCATCGTCGTCGTCGTCGTCGTAGTCTCGGCGAGGGTTCCCCTTGGGACCTCCTCGGATAACGAATGCAAATTTCGTCGGAATATTATTATTTTACGTTTCCCGGCGGCGGCGTGCGTGAGCGAGCGAAGTTGACCGGCGGCTTGACGCGCGCGTACCGTTCGTTATTCTCATATTATTATAAATACGGGTCTTATATATACCACCTCCGCCCGGGGTTCCGGCTCCGATCTATATAATACGATAAATTATTATTAATATTATTATTAATGCATTATAGGTTGTCGCAAAATAATAAAAACAATTTATTTAGCAAAAACGAAATAGCGTTCATACTAATTTAAATAGTAATAAAAAACAATATTTTTTTGCTACCCCCTTCTAAGCATATTATTGAGGTTTTTAAGTCCGTGAAATAATTAATAAAAATATACTAATGTGTTAATATTCTAATTAGAACACATCATACTTAACTGTATTTACAACTTCTTCAGTGCATATATACTGATATATTAGGACAATCTAATGTTTTTTTGGAAATGATTTAAATAAATACAGATTAGGATTATTAATTTTATGCATTCTACATTTATTATTTGAATAGCAATCACTTTAGACACTGCGTGTAAATACATATTTCATATTTACATTAAAATGCGTATACCCGATGGTTATTATGTAATACACTCATAATATATAATATATTTGTATGTGCCGACTGTCGAAGAACATGAATGCGCGTATATATATACAATATATATTAAATATATATGACGTGTGCAGGAGACGCTATGTAAACGTATACGAATTAAGCGGCCGTTGGCCTACACGTAATAATATAATACCTTTTTAGAATTTACCCCCCAACGATCCGTCGTCGACGGGTCTTAGGGTATTGCTCTCGAAGCTCCGACACGCGAGTATAGGTTATAATATTATAACACACGTATAGGTGCATTAAATTATTGTAATATATATATATATATTACTGTCATGAATAGGATAGAAGGACATATAGAACGTATATAGGTGTCGATAATTTTAATGATTTCAAAAATGAGTACACTAACTGTTACCCCATTAATATCGTATTACTGATATTGTTATGGATCGATTACGAGGAGGGTATAAAGAATATTATAATATTTCACTTAATCGACGAACCAAAATTACATGTGTATGCTGTGCGAGTCTATAGAGCAACCTGTTGGTCAATCGCTCAGATCGGTTTGACCCGTTACAATATATTATATTATAATATTATGATTAATAGACGAAAACTTTGTTTCAAAGTCGTCAACACACTTCAGCCAGAAGGAAGCGTTGGATATAAATTATGATAATACTATGCGGCGATGGGTGAGCGTGGGTGCGCGTAGACGTGTGTTCGTTGAGCGACTTCCGATGTACGATTTAGGTACACTTATATGTCTAAACCGTAATCATTTAATAGCAGTATTATACGGCTTTATAGGTACCTTGCAATAGCACGTAACCTCAAACTGCTGCAGCGATCAATTATGAAAATCGTTTTTAAAACAATCGTTCCATAATATACGCGTCATTTATAAGCAGCGATGTAGTATTTGACCGTTGCACTATTATACGCATCATCGTCGCCCCGTCGTTATATTATTTGGTCGTGACTCGTGATCGCAGCCTCGTCGTTAGACATTAATGAATGATGATGGCGTAGTGAGATGGAATTTTTTTAAATATTTTTTAATTCGTAAACGTAATTAAATTACCGTTAATAAGGCGCCGGGCGTCTCATATCGTCCCTTGTTCGCAATCTCGTCGTTACAAAATTACTGCAGACATGATGGCCAGTACAATGTATGGTCTGTAATACAGTTTATATTCTAAAATCAGCATCAATCATCGTTAAGATAATATATGATTTGTGAAAAATAATAATTTTATTTTTTCCCCGCACTGCGGTAACCTTTTTTTATATTTAAACTTATACTGTATAAATCACTTTGATACATACATTTTGAATTATTCAAAGCGCGAACGCGTTTTTATAAAATAATCAAACTTTAGATATATGTTTCTTGTACTCTATAATATAGACGACGACCCTATTATACTGTTTTTCAGTGGTCGTTCAGCCTGCTGTCACTTAATATATAAATCCATCTGAACTATAAAGACTGAGTTTACGGGTATTTAATTTCTCATTTTAAATTATAATAAATACATAAAAATTGTAAAATATCTTAACATAACTCCGAAAAGTTAATGTATTAAAATTAATGTAAATGTGATTTCTCGTCCATATATAAATAGTTTCCGATTGGGTAATACTGACTTTTTATTAAAATAATCATCTCGAGACATATAACAACAATCTTTATATCATAATAAATAATAACTGTTATGTGTATCGTATATAGCGTTCGGCACAGTATGAATAATATCGGTACATTTTTTATGAACACAGTAAAAATAAAACTACATCGCATCCTTAGATTTAACTTCTTGCCTATAATATATTACGAGATAGAAGAAGAACTAATAAGGATATTATACTCTAACTCTAGTACAACTAAAACAACATACCTTAACTATTAAATTATACATTATGATTGATATTTATTTCTACAACATGCACTTGGAGTTCTTGTATAAACTCATTTACCATGTTTATTTTGTGTAATTTATTTTCCTAGACACATGTTGTGTACACATTATGATGTTTAGAAAACACTATATGATTAAGTTGTGTAGACGTTAATGATTAGAGAGCACTTAAAGAGCATTCTTGTACTCTAATCTAATACAATTATCAAATGAGCATTTCAGTAGAATGAAAATATATTATACATACGAATATTTCGATACGAAAAGCCAAATGCGTATTCTCTGTGGGCAAACATCCACACCCATTTAAGTATTGTCTATTGATGACTTTTAAACGACGAGTATTAGAAAAAAAGAAACACTTATATAATTAATATAATTTTCATTTCAGACGATTTTAAAATAATAAGCGGTCTTAATAATTTATATCATATGTGTATATGCCTATACGAATAATAATTGTTTAACGCATTTTAAATTGGATAGGTACTATACCCAGGTTACTGCATGCATACCAGTTTTACGTATCCACGTACCCGCCGTACCCATATGGTTTGGGATATATTATTATATGTATATCGTATGTATACATCATCTGCAGTTATAAATTTCTAACAGAATCGCAATCGGAATTCGAACATAAACTTTCACATCTACATATACAATACATAAATTCGCCACTCGGCGGTTAACTATATTATACTATTATTATATAGTATGTACACGTCTGAACTCTGAAAAGACATTAGCGTGGAATTTCCTTGAAAAACTTTGCAAATATGTACTTATATAATACACGCATAATATTATGTATATGTGTAGTGTGACATGCTGCTGCGCGCGTGGGCCGATCAAATCAATATTGTGCGACCGAAAGCCGTTAAACTCGTTGCCGGTCACTATATATAATATTTTAAATCTATAATATACCTAATAAAATGGTAATATTATTATAATGATACGCACACAAACACTTTGGCACGTGTAATAGATTTCAATTTCCACCCCATCGTCAAACTTTTCCATCACTCCTCAACGGCTGCAGGTTGTTGTGCAACACTCGCTTATGACGATAGTAATTTAATAACAATAATAATAATTGTCGTACTACCGCCGCCGTCGTAACCACCTGTGCGTGTGCGGCGTTATAAATAAATTGTAATACTGTCGATGTGCGGCATTTATTATTTCGCCGTGTCATCGACCAGACGAAATTTTACACCTATATGGCGACAATTACAGTCGACATGTATAATAATAATAATAATATTACATGTATATTATTTTACATGTATACCATAACGTCCGAGTTTCACAATGTTTCAGTTATTACCTGTGTATAATATACTACCTATACATATATATGTGTGTGTAGGATATACGGCCGTAGTGTATTATATATCTAGTTTAAACTTCCTGGTGGTGTGAATTCGACAGGTAATTTTTTTTTTTTTGTTCCGATTTCGTCGGCTCGTATATAATATATACATATGTCCGCGCACTTCCTGTCCGAGTGGTAAACGCATTTTCTCTCGGGTCTCTTATAACGCGTATAATATACGTACAGGTATAATACTAGTATATTAATAATATTATTATATTATACTCTATTATGCATTCGGTACGCGACACGAACCACCCGCCGCCACCGCAACGGCTACTGTGCGCCGCAAT